CCCAGCGATTACCCGTTCCACGAGTTAAGCTTAAACGAAGGGGAAGGAGGGAGGCAGGGACACCACCGTTGCACGTTTTATGTTTTCGAAGACCGGCCGAAAATTGAGACGCGCGTGCGTGCTCTCTCACTCTCTCTCCCGAAGGCAGTCAAGTCAGGACGTCGCACCGCGGAGACGGAGCAGTGAAATCAGCCTCGTGTGGGTGCAGCCGCTGGACGTGACGCTGCCGCGCTTGCACGCGCACGGTACAAATCCAGATCGCGCAGTCGCATTGCGGCACCGGCGCGAGAGAAGACGGAGACTGCTTGTGGAGGAGGCCTTCAGCCGGCAGTGGATTGAACATGGCTGATGATGATGTTGATGACTGTGAAGCCAATCAGAGACTGTGCGAAAATTTTTTTACATGTACAAAAAAACCTTTTACTTTCAGATTTTTTTTGCATTTCTAGCAATTTAATTCCCACTGTCGTAGCAAGAGACGACGCGTGTCGAGTTTGAACTGTTGCAGAGCAGTGCACATCACCGTGTGAGAGGACGGTCCGCAGAAGGAGATTTCTTAGAACTACATCTGAGATCTTTTAAAAGTGACCTCATGCGACACCAGGGGATGCACTTTCCCACATGCCCTGCTACGGAGAGAGGTTGATCACGTGGCTGTTAAACCATTTTTTTTTTTTTCTCTCAAGGAAGATATTCATCCAAATTAAGTAAAACAAATATTCTTGCGAGTTTTACATACAGCCATTGGTGACCGGGCTGAGAGACTATGAACTTACCCCACTGGAGATTCGAATCAGAATATTTCGTCAGACTAGAGGAATCCGATGAGCTATAGAGAGCTCTGCAGAGGGGCACGGGCTCAGATTCGAACCCTGGGCCTCAACAGTGCCGACTCAGCTTCTATCTCGTCCTTCAGGGCCACGGATTGATTCAAGCATCGATTTTTCGTCTCATTTTTACCGCCTCGTTTGTATTGTAAAAAAAACCCTCTCACTTGCACCGACTTCTTTGCGCATTCATATTAATTTTAACAATCGCGCATCTTGCGAGTGCCATTCGCTTGCATTAAAACATTAAATCACTTACAACACTCCACGCGGTGTAACGTCGCGCGAGCCTTGGGAGCCGGTATTAATAGACGCATCATCGCTCCCTTCGCCTTCACCTGACTTTCAGATTCCTTGAGATACGGAGACCGACCCAAATGGGGCTGCCACGAGGAGAGAGGGGGGCACAGGGACCCGGTGGGGGGGGGGGGGGGTGGCAGCCGAGGTTGAGGGGGGAACATGACGGTAAGCATTGGGTTTGTGCCAGAGTGATTCTCGTCTGTCGCGTAAGAGTAAACGAAAATGACGACAGGAACTCAGACCCCGTGACTGTTGTTGCCTCGAGGAAAACCGCTGCTGCTGTAACTCAGAGTGACCGCTGCTTAAACGCCATTAACTGACAGAGAGTTATCTTTAGGCAATCAACCTTCTCAGATTTACAACTGGAAACATTAATTTAGCAGTTAAGGCCCTGCACTGGCAGCGGTGTGCGTGCGTAACGAACTTGAAAACCGCTCGCGCGTCACTAAAAACTAAACTATTTTTTATTTTATAAGGCACGGCCGACTGAGTTATGTAGCTCTTTTTCAGAAGCGACCTGACCATCACAAATGATAGCTCAAGTGGCTTATCGTGTGAAAATTCATAGCAGCCAAATACTCTAAACCGGAGAACCCAGAGAAAAATCCACGTGACCACGGAGAGACATGCAAACTCCAAATAAACAGCCGGCATCAGGGTCGGGATTGAACCCAGTCGAGGTAGTTAACATCTCGCCACCGCGGCACGCCAAGTCAACTGGCTTATAACTTCTCCATGTTCTCCTGGACCTCCCACAGAGTCCATGAAGCTCAGATCTTCCACGTCGCGACCACCCGAGGTGGCACAGCTTCAGAGGTTAAAATCTCTCCACGTGCTCAACAATGGTGCATCATGTGATAACCATTTGAAATGTGTGGGGTTATAAAGTAATTTGCTGCCTAAGGTGGAACAGATTTCTTCTCTGGCCCGTGGACCAACAGAGAAAAGTGAGTGAATCTCTCTCTGCCCCTCTCTCTCCCTCTGCTACAAAGGATAATACGTTGGGCGCTGGTTTCTGTCTCCGAGCGTTGGCCAATCGTGCGGTGGCTTAGGCCGGTTTCCAATCGTGCATGTTCCGAATAGCAACACAACCTCAAAGCACAGAGACTCGTTCCTATTGAATCCTCTGTACGCGAGTTACAGTGCCTCCCCCCACAAACCTCCCCCCCCCCCCCATCTAATTACGGACAGGTAAACAGGTGGACGGACAGAGCTGATGCGAACACCCTTTAATCATCCTTAGTTGTAAAGTGGTTAATAACGGGTGCAAAACTCATTTCGCGATTAAATGTCTCTCTCTTTGTACCACGGTGTCCTTTCTCAAACAGGTCAGCGATTCGCTCTGCCCGTGGCATTGGCGATGCCTCCCAGTTGCATCCAACTGTTCCGAGTTGCCCATGCAACTTAATTCACCTTCTTCCTACCCGCCACCTATACCCCGCCCCCCGGGACTATTTGCAGTACCTACAATTTTCCCGGTCAAAAATGGGGGGTATTCACGTTCAGAGTCTCGGTTTGTGAAAACGCACGCAAACACCAAAATAAGAACCGGTAGGCAAGTCGTCAGTGTGTCGACGTCGGTCAAACCGCGGCGTCATCGATTGATCAACCGATCGAGACGTCGAATGGGGCGGAGGAGGGGTAGCCCTGTGATCAGAGAACAAAGAACCCGGCGAGTGAAGGAGCCTCGCAAACACGCCCCCACCCCCCCCCCCCCCAGGATTTCTGGCAATTGCCTGATGATGCCCGATCGTAACTACGTGCGAAACATCCGCACCCCCAATTGGTAGCCGCGTGTGGATCGCTCCTCCAGCGACAACGCACCGGTGCCGATTCTGCTGCCGAAGCAGTAATCAATCGGCACGTTTGTTCATCGTGCGACAGCTTTAATAATTAGCCGTGGTCGGGTGGAGGAGGGTGCACGACACACATTTCACACACGCCGCAATCAGACCCAAAAATCAACAAGACGCTTTCCCCGTTCAATATAATTTTTCCTTTTAAGGCCGCAGCGTTATTGACGAACGTGTTGATATCTGTATGTTATTATCATCACGATGAGCCGCAACTTCCCGCACCTCCGACGAGCACGGTTGGCTACGTACGGTGTGAAAGAAAATCAACATATGTACACACACACACGGCGCCGTCACCTTCACCAGGGACGAGATGCCAACGCCACCGGGATTATTCAACGGACGTCACGCAGGACCCCGCTCACTCCGCCCACCTTCGTCTCATTCCACACGGCACGCCGTGTTCCCGATTCCACACACTGTTGCTTTATTCTGGACAGCATCGCCTTAATCTGTGCATTGTAGCCTTAATCTGCACAGCGTAGCGTTGCTGTGCAGTCTCGCCTTGTTATGCAGTGTCGCCGTGTTGTCCAGTCTGTCCATATTCTGCGGTGGAGCCTTAATCTACACAGTCTAGCCTTATTAAGCAGTGCAGCCTTAATCTGCGCATTGTAGCCTTAATCTACACAGTGTAGCGTTACTGTGCAGTCTAGCCTTGTTAAGCAGTGTCGCGTTATTGTGCAGTGTAGCCTTTATTCCACGCGAAGCAGCCTCAACCTGTCCCAGGTAGTCCAACTCCATACAGCGGCGCGTAGCTTGCGTCGTCGTCCGCTCACTCACCTTGCAGTTCCCTCATCGCTTCGCCACCGCCGCCTTACCTGTCCACGCTGGCTAAAGGAAGGGGTTCATCTTCAGCTCCGTATAACCTTGCGTTTGTTTATGGCTCCGAGACGTGTCACAGCCAGACTCGCGCAAGCACGCCGGCCGCCTTCTTGTACGTGGAGAGGAAACCGAACGGGGGGCGCCTACACGTGTGCCTCTTTTGCCTCTCCACTGCTCCGATTGGGGGGGGGGGGGGGGAACCTGCCCCACACCGCACGGGTCGAGAGGGTTTGCTCGACCGCGCTTGGCGAAGCCGGAGAGCGGCACGGACGCGGGCACGTAGAAGTGGGGTACAACAGTGGGTTCTTGCTTCGGCGCCCACCCTCTGCTGGTTTTACTGCAACCGATTTTTACTGCGACGGCTTGCGTCAAACCGGGATAAACGTGGGTTTCTTTCCAAAAAAAAAATAAACAGCCGCTAAATGACCCTTCTTCTCACGGAGAAAAATGGTGAATGTTTACCGTGATGTTTTTTATTTTTGTATCGTGTGCATATGCATGATTTTCTCTTCTCTCTCCTGTTCCATTCTCTTTCGCCAAACCTTACATCCTTCGACTCTCCTCCTTTCCCTGCCCGTGGTGCGGCCACAGGTACAACGTTGACCCTTCCCCTCCAGACAACGCGACACCGAGTGCCCGACCCTGTGGTCGTCGCTTGTACAGAATATCTTGAGCGACGTTTACCCGCTTCGGCTTCAATGTAACGTCAGTGTGAACCAAGGGGTAGAAACTCTATGTACGTGTGTACGTGTGTATGTATGTATGAAGTATGTGCGTACGTTGAACCTCTTTTGCATGAACGTAACCAACCGTGCCGATCGGCGATGCGGGGGAAGGACAACAAACCAGTGCGAAAGAAATGCGTTTTCTATCGAGAATTTAAAAATGCACAGCTCCCAGTGCATTCCTAATATCGGAAAGATCATTCCAGGTGGCCGCAGAAGGGCATCTGAAAGCGCGCGCTATGCAGCGACTGTGTTTGTTCGATGGTTAACAAAAGTCAGTGCTGCGAGGATAACCGAAGTTTGCGTGATGGTTTCCGCTCCTTGGCTACCGGACACGCGACGGGCTCTTCCTTCGTGTCTTCGGACGGATAAACTCCACGCATGCGTGAGACAAGTAATCACCTTGTGTGTAGATTGATTGAGAATTTTATTTATTATTCATCACTCAATTCACTGAGGAGGCCACTTACGGTTGTAGATGGCACTGCAGGCCGTCGGCGCTTGGCTGCAGCAATTCACCTGGCAAGGCTCCTGCAAACCAACAACAACAACAACAGGAGCGACGTTAGTAACACTGTGCTCATAACGACCAGTGAGAACAGTTAACCTTCATCATCATCGGCCACGATCAAATCCACCGCTGGATGAAGGCCTTCTCAAGCCGTCGCAAATCCTCTTCCAGTAGATTTGAAGTTTTCGTGACTGCAAGGGTCCATACTCTTTGGTTCTTTCGGTAAAGTCACGTAGGTGAAAAAAATTAAAATTAAGATTAAAAATAAAATAAAAATAGAAATAAGTAAATTAAAACACGACGTTTCGGAAGCAACAAAAGCTTCCGTCAACGTCGTGTTGTAATTTAGTTATTTCTATTTTTACTCTTATTTTTTCACCTACGTGACTTTACCGAAAGAACCAAAGAGTGCCTCTTCCAGTAATTCGATGCGACGATTCCACCTGGCGCTCACACAGGGACCAATTTCCACGCTCCGTCTCGCCACCCCCCCCCCCCCCCCACAGTGGTGTGTGTCCCCTCGGATGCGTGCCATCCCTCGTTGCTCGTCTTGACTGTGGCCCATCAACCCCCTTCCGACGGCCGTGTCTTGCGCTAGAACCCGGGGCGAACGCACCACGTCTCCCGCACCTCCGATTTGCGCAGTTGGCTACGTACGGTGCGAAAGAAGTTCAACGTACATACAGATACATACATACAGGCAAAGTCCACTGAGGTATGAACTCGTGACCACGGCACCCGTCGGGGTAGGGGGGGGGATGATGACGACGCTAAATGTCATCGTCTGGAGGTATTTCACGTTGGTCAACGACCGAGCCTTTCTATCGCCCTCCTGGCCGACGCTAAGGTGGGGGGGGAAATGGACTCGGGCTAAAGATCACGAGACAAAGCGAGAGGGGGGGCAGGGAAAGGGGGGCGGGCTGCTCACACCGCTGCTGACGTCACAACGACGACAACGTAAGGGGGGGCAGGCCGAGAGGGGGCAGCTGAGAATGCCGCCGACGCGTTTCTCCGCGCTCGCCTGAGCGTGAACGCACAATGAGTTGACGACGCCTCCCAGCCCCCGACCCCCCTACTGACGCGCACGCCGCGCCGCCCCGCGAGATTTAGAGCCTCCGACGTACTTCGGCCGCCACAAAGAGCGTAGAGAGGCCACCGTCGGTCCACAACGGTGGGGCTTCAGAAAAATGATTTCGCCCGAGTGTCGGTCAAAGCCACAAACCCGGGCCTCCTACGCCAGAGGTCGCAAACGGGTTTTTATTCCTTACCCGTACCCGGCCGCACCAGGGTCGCAAACGGGTACCTGTACCCATACCCGGCCGTACCTGTACCCTACCCGTACCCGGCCGGGTACGAGTAGGGTACGGGTATCGGGTACCCGATTGCGACCTCTGGGATGAAGCCATGTTGCAGGCGCGGGTGGGTTGATTCTAGGAACTTAAATTGTGAGAAGAGACAAGACGTTGGAAAATGAGTGACAAACAGTTACTCACCAGTGACTCACGGTCTACCCGTACCCGGCCGCACCAGGGTCGCAAACGGGTACCCGTACCCGGCCGGGTACGGGTAGCCGGGTATCGAGTAGGGTACGGGTATCGGGTACCCGGTTGCGACCTCTGTCCTACGCCTCCACAACCACCATCCACCGCCCATAACCACCACCCTGCCCGCAACCCTCACAATCACACACACTTCAGACAAATCACTCGCTGGCATTCGTGAATGTAGACTTTAACGCTCAGTAATGGAACTGGCCGAACAAACTATAATCAGAATATTTATTTAAGCTGGAGCAATCTCCAGTCAAGTAAATTTTATTTTTGCTTAAACACGTGGTGTCTTTCTAGCACAAATCTACCACTCAAAGCACCATCAGCTTAATACTCACGAAGATAACATTTTAAAGTATGTTTGAATCGCTCACGCTTTGTGGGCTCATGATCAATAACTTAAAAAATTGTTATTCTACACAAGGAGTAAAAAATAGATACACAGTACTATCTATAGTTTTTTTTTAAAGCATAAGCAAGTTGCGGCTGTGAGTTAGTTGTTGTCGTGTGTGCAAATGCAAAGAGGCGTGTGCTGTTGTTGCGTTGTGAATGTAGTGATGATAGGGTCGAGTGTGTGGATTGCTTTCGGGGGGAAGTTGTCCCAGGAGGTGCTGGGCGCTGCAAATCTGGGGAGTCGCAGCAGCTGACTCGCACACGCCAGAGCCACCGCTCTCTCAAGTTACTGCGCAGAAACAGGGGCCTTCTCATAGACACAGACGGTGGTGGTGGTGGCACAGTAGGGGGCACAGCTGGTGCATCTGCCAGTCATCTCAGTCAGTCAACCCATGGCACCTGGGTTTGTCCCGTAACCTCCTGTCAGCGAGACTTTGACAGTTCACGTGGCCTCAAGGTGCACCTGGCCTGGCACAGGCGCCGCGGTGACATCACCGTCACACATCGTGGCGAATGGCGGGGTATTGGTGCTGTGGCTCAGGGTCTAAACACGGGGGTTTTAGGTCGCCACGCAAACCCATTCGCCCGGCTCGCGTCATTCAAACCGCAGGCCAAACGGCAGAACCCTTTCAAAGCACGCGGACTCGGTGAAAAAAGGGGCAAAAGGTTACGAAGGGCAGAGCGCCGGAGTTGTCCACTGACGCAATCGGTGACCCCCCCCCCCCCACTCCCGCCACCGCGCCCCCCCGTGCGATTGAGATTCATTTCAGACGGTGAACGTTCCAAAAGGGAAGAGGGCACGCGAGGTTACGGCTCTCCGTAAACATTTCACGTCAAACGCACGCACAGGTTGCCCACGAGCATGGAAATATGAAGACACTTGCAGACATGCGAACACACACGTGGTGTGCACGATGATAACAAACAAAATGACACATGGGCAAAATACGAAATTGTGCACACGCAAATACGAGACATGTGGGCAAATATACGCACAGACAACAATTGCCACGCACAACCAGGTGGTGGCATGTCACCACAGCTTCTGTGCTAGGCTATGTGGCATTTTGACAAACACGTACACATCTTCAAAGAGACACCTACACAACGGGGACAAAGACAATCCGTACGGACTGTTGGGGCAAGTGCTGTTTGCGAGCGCCTGTTGAGGCCAGAACGGTGCACAAGAGCGTGGTGTGACAAGCACCACACCCAGCCGCCTTTGTCTTCCCAGTGCTGATATAGTCACAACAAAGACAAAGATCGCCCGTATAGCCTCCGGAGACTGTTTAGCGCAAGTGCTGTTCGCGAGCACCTAATGAAGGCCAACGCGGCACGCGAGTGGCCAGCACCACGCCGATTGCGTGCAAACCACTGCACTACCGCTCCCCACCAGATAAAGTCTCGCACACACGGACACACGCACACACGCAGCCCTCACCTCCACTCACCTGCCTCACTCTCCCAAAACCGCCCCCCAACCTTCACAAGACCCCCACCCCACACCCCCCCCCCCCCCGCCACCCCCACCCCGCCCCTACCATCACAAACCCAGACCCACATCTCTCCGGCTCCCACCGGCTCCCAGTCACAAACCCAGCACGAACCGGTAACGCCGCAGCGACGAGCCGGAGCTGTACGCCCGCTCGCCGGCACTCGGCAGTTCCGCCTCTGAGCGCTCGGCCGCCCGGCGGCCCAAGCACCGGTTCCCGTCGGCTGTCTTGCCGATAAAAACTAGCAGACGAGACACACGCAGTCCGCGCTTCGTATCCCTCCGGTGTCGGGACACCCGAGACTCTGTGGCGGCTACAAATCACTTTTTGTGTAAACAAACACTGCCCTCTGTGTCCGTCTTGGAACTGACATTGTTTCAGTCGCGTTGGCGGCGCGATATGAATGCAAGTGTTGTTATTACTATCATCATTATTGAAGTTGTTGTTGTGATACGTGGCTGTATGGTGACGGTGCTGCACGGGGCCTCCTCCGATGCGCTTTGCGGGGGTCGTGCCACCGCGGGTTTGTTCAGAAACAACGTCCCGACGTTTCGCTCCGCGCGCCACTTCAGCAGCTGGGCGGAGCCAGCAGCAGATCCACCGTGTTTGCCAGTTCTCAACACCTGATTGGCTATCTATATCGTGGGAGAAATGGCTGAATCTCTTAGCAAAGGGGAAACTGCAAAGTTGCGCACCTAACACACACACACACGCGTTTACTTATAGCCCGTGGTCCGTTGGGCAGGAAGACACTTTCACTCATTAACAATAATAATTTGGCACGTTTAGTATTTGCGTCCCTTTTAATAGCGCAGGATTATGACGAAGGAAGCTGCGATGTTGCACAGGCAGATATGGCCTCCCAGCGGGCAGCGACGTTGCCTCGTGTAACCTCAATGAGGAACGTCGCTCCCCCATGGGCAGACTTTATCTGTGCGCAAATCCCAATTGGGTAGTGGGCAGGTGATTTTTCTTATATTTGGCGAGTTTGGACCGTGACGCCAACACGTTTTCTAATTACTTCGGCATCGCGCGAGCATATGCAGGTAAGGCCCACCGAGTGATGTGGCTCTTTTTCAGAAGCGACCTGGCCACAAACAATAGCTCAATAAAGTGGGTTCATCATCGTGCGGAATTTTACAGCGGCCAAATACACCCGCGGTGGTAAACAGGGCTGCCGGGTTCGAGCCACGGGCCTGTGCCACGAGTGGCGAACGTGCCACCCCCGCGACTTCATCCTCCCCAACGCCACCCCTGCCCATCCGCCAATGCCCCCCCCACTGCCTCCCCTTGCTTAGATATCAGACTCCCGTACGCCGCACTACGACAACGGCCATCCGGAAATTTCTCCCGATCGCCGCACGTCGGACCGGCGGTGCGTGGGCTGCGTCTCCGCGTCGCAGCGGACTCGCCGTGTGTGCATGTGTCACGCGCCGCGCTAAGAGGCCCTCGTCCCGTCCCATGCGGGGGGTGGGTGGGGGGGGGCGCAGCAGGGTAAGAGGTGTCTGGTGATGGATAATGCACCGCCGGCTGAACACAAAGGACCAAGCCGTGTACTACAAAGTCAGTAATTATAACAACAATGACCATCATCACCATCATCATCCGAGTCTCCTGACCTGAATTTCCATCAATTGCAACTGCTTCATTAAATGTAGGTTACGTGCGTCCCTTGTGTGCGTGTGTGTGTGTAACAGTCTACGGCCTATGACCGCATTGCCCAGAATGCACCTGATTTCAATGCGTGCGTGTGCGTGCATGTGTGTGCAGTGCTGGCCTTCATAGGTGCTCGCTAACAGCACTTGCCCCTACAGTCTGTTAAGGCTATACAGGGGATCTTCATCTTTGTCTTACGATTAGTGTACTACACTACCAACCCGGGGACCAGAGTTTGATTGCCGCTCACGGCTAAAACAAGTGAGAATTATCTGAAATAGTCCTGGACTTCCCTCAGGTCCAGACAAAGGCGGCTGGGCGTGGTGTTGGCCACCCACCCCTTTGTGTGCCATGCCGGCCTTCATTAGGTGCTCGCGTACAGCGCCTGCCCCAACAGTCGGTTAAGGCTATATGGGGGGACCTTAATCCTTGTGTGTAACAGTCTACGTACGGCCTGTGACCGCATCGCCCAGCATGCTCCCGATTTCGTGCAGAGCTCTGCAGCCAAGCAGGGTTGAGCGCGGACAAAGCCGAGGGAGGCGACCACCGAGCGCACTGCATTCTGGGTCACGTGCCAGGACTCCCACGCTGCTCTGTAACAGGGAAATGTGGATCACGTGGCAGTGAAAGCGATACACCTTTGATTCTCGGAGTTGGAAATTAGCCAAACTAAGCAAAAACCCTACCTGGATGTTTTATTTTGTAAGCATTGGTCAATAACACTACTTAAAAAAAAAATTTGATAACAGACGACATATCAGGCAGCGGTCCTTCTTCCGAGCACATAACATGAAGAAGGTCCATTGTCCGAAACGTCACCTCTCACATGTTTTTTTTATTTTAAAGCCACACACACACACAGTGTCGCTGTTGACGAACGCATTGACTTTTGTCGTGGTTCACTGTGCTTCTGCACCACTGCAGCAGCATCGCCGACTGATGTGTGTGTGTTTTTTGTCGCCGTATGCAGTCACCGGTGACGGAGCTGAGCCGTTAACTCGCTACAGCCGAGAACCCTAACGTAATCACCGGCCCGCCGAAACCCAAATTTCAAACCCATGATCTCAGCGGCGCCGACGACTCGGTGTCCCCGACACGGCCATTTATGAACCCACCGAGCCACCCAACCACCTCAATCACGTGCGCGGGTGCACACACACGCATGCATTCACGCACGCACGCACTCTGGAATGCACATCTCAAAATTGGGCGTCGTTAGCCCAGATACGGCACAGCCGACCTCATTAATGTACCCGCGAGGCACGCATCACACTGCCCCGCTTTCGCTAAAATAACTGCTGGGATTAACCCAGATGTAGCCGTCGGGCCGTGCGAACGCGTCCCCCCCGGCGGTGTTCCTGAAGCGTGCCGCCAACCACCACGGACGCACTTCGCCACGGCCACCGCCCGACGGCCCAACGTTGTTTTTAAAACGAACGATGTTTTCGGGCAGCGGACCTCCCGCCCCCCTCTCCTTCCTTAGGTGCCCGCATCGTCTCCTTCGAAATACACCTCCAATTAGCACGGTTGGCTACGTACGGTGCGAAAAAAATGTACGTGTGTGTGTACGTACGTAAATGGGAAAAATTTAAGACGAGCCTGCAAGGAGTGTGACTGTGGCCATGCGAGCCAAAATATGGACCACACAGTAAACGCAAAGAGATACACAGAATTACCTAGAGACTCAGGAGATAAGTAAAGACTCATAGAGATCTGTAGCGAATCTGAGATCAATAGACACATAGAGATACATAGAGACAAACAGAACAAAAACAGAGACTCGAAGAGACACGGTACACCGCAAGGCACAGCAATGCGTCTTTGGCCACGCAACACAAACTACGGACCGTATAGCGAACTCACTGTGGCCTGCGCTCCTTCAACCAAACGCTCAACTCCTGAAGCCCTCTCGTGGTGGCGAGCAGACCTCGGCGCTTGCACACTGCTGCAACCGTTCACAAAAAGTACAGAATAGCAGAGAGATCTCACTCAAGGTGGTGGGGTACGAAGCAGTGACCGATGAGGCGGGTGAGAATATTATTTCAAAGGGCTTTAATACATTTCGATTTAAAGCTTTCGTGACTGCAGGGATTCATCTTCTTGGTTCTTTCGGTAAAGTCACGTAGAAGGGAAATAATTAAATAATAAAATCTACCAATTGCATAATTCTCACGACGTTTCGGCCACAACGCAAGCGGCCGTCCTCAGGTGAAGAACAGGTCTGTCGGAAAGACAGCGTGAGAATTATTTTATTATGTTTTATTTTTATTATTTTATTATTTCCCTTCTACGTGACTTTACCGAAAGAACCAAGAAGGCTTTAATACATTTTCGGGGTGAGTGGGGGGGATGCTGAAACATTAATTTTTTTATTTTCTTAGAATTTTTTTTTTATAATGTCCAATATTGAGAGAGTGCACGGTCGCCACCAGCAGGGCACGTGGTGGCAGACGCATGGCGCATGAGGGCACGGGTTCACTGATCGGATCCGTCATCCAGATGCCACACTTTAAAAGATCTCTCTGCCTTGCAGAAGGACCACTGCCCGAAACGTCACCGACACAGACTATACAAAAATATTTGTTTCCCTCTTGAGGGCAGCGTTATTGACGAATGGGTTGACTTTTTCATGATCTGTCCTTGTGCGCCACTGCCAATGCAGCAGCAGCAGCACTGCGGGTATTCCTCGCTCGGTTGGCAGTCATAGGTGGGGAGGGGTGGGTGCTGGGGGTGGTGAAGTGTGGAGGTGGTGGGGGAACGGAGAGACAAAGACGGAGGTGGGGGAGGAGTTAGGAGAAGTCGCGAGACTGGTGTGATCGTAGACAGCCAGTCGTCGGGCGATCGGTAAGCCCCCCCCCCCCCCGCCGTGCCGAGTCCAAAGAACAGATTAACGGTGGGGGTGGTGGGTTTTTCCAAAACGTAATTGCGACCTCGGGTTTTTTTTTTGTGCGGCGTCCAAATATGTCACACGATCGCTTACCACCTGGTTGCTAAATAAATAGTTTTTTTGTGGAAACAAAAGATAATGGATTTAATCCGTCGGGCAGATTTACCCGCGTGCTTTTGACGACCTTGCCGTAAGTACAAAGTCGCGAGGCGTTCGCCGTTTACGACATCGACCCGCGGCGCCTTGAATCGTTGTGCCGGAGTATTTACAGGAGATTCAAACGTATAGCAATCACATTGCTGGCCTTTTACAGGCCTACGCAGACAGCAAGTTACCCCAAGCAGTCCATGAGGGCGAACTAAGTGGGGGGGGGGGGGGGGTTTCTTCCCTGCAATAGATTACAATGTACAGCCCTTGTTTGTCTCTCCACTGCTGAATGAAGGCCTGCCCAAACTGTGCTGGTCATGGGGATCGTTTTGACCATACTTCGCCACACTGGGCAGTGCGTGTTGGTGAAGGCGGCGAGCAAAGACGGTGCAACGCAGTGCAACGCAGTGCAGTGAAAACAATGGATTTTTTTTCTGCACTTCCCCATCTGCTGTGACCTGCCATTAAATCCACCGACTGAATATAAACTATGGACACAAAAGCGGGCAGCGCGGTCGTTAAAGCACACTGGGGGCTACGCGAGCCTGGCGACCCAAGTTCGATTCCAGGCCACGGCTAACATCGGCGGCGAGCGATATCACGACCGCTCCCTGCTGGCTCCCCCTTCGCCAACCGCCGCAACCGACCAGCGTGGCGAAGTACGGTCCAACGCACCCCCCCCCCCCACCATGACCCAACACGGCACATGGAGGCTGACCTCATCCAGCAGTGGAGATTGCCGTGAGGCCACGTACGTCACCGCGATGGTGGGCACTACGTAGCTTTGAAGTTGACGGTGCACAAAATAAAATGTAAATAAAAAACCGTACTGCGGTGGGCACCCAATCTTTCAAGCCGTGCTCTCCACGTGACGACTTGGCAAATTGAGTTTGGCGGCGAAGAAAATACAGACTGGGTCGCGAGTTTACAGGTCGCGCAGTTTTTTTTACGACGACAGCGCGGCAACGGCGTCACCGTCAAACATTGCCCACGACCTCTACGCGGGTCGCGTGGCACCGGTTCATCGTCGTCGTCATGGTGGGACTCAGGCTGTCATTCTGCTATCAAAAGACAGAATTACCAAACCGTGACCGTGCGAACGGAATGTCATCATCATTATCGTCGTCGTCGGCCACGATCTATCCCCTGCTGGATGGAGGCTACTGAAAATCCGTTGCAGTAGATGCAACGATGCGTCTAGCAACCTGCACAGCAGCGGATTTCACCATTGCTCCAACTTCCTGCTGGAATAGTAGCCCTCATGGGCGATAATTGATTGACAGTGACAATGAACGATGGTTATGATTGATTACTGTTATGCCATGATGATGATAATTATAAACTGATGATGATACACTGATGATGATTAATAATATAATTCTGACAATTGGCACGGTTGGCTACGCATGTTGCGAATGAAGTTCAACATTCATACATATAATAATGCAATGATGATGATTCTACCCTGATGATGTTAATTATACACCGATGATGATTGATTATGCAATTATGACGATTGGTAGATGATGCGGACGATCAATCATCAACTAAATATTATGGCAATAATTATCGATGAAGCCGCTACTGCTGTTGCTGCTGATGATCGACAATGACTTTCCTCTGTGCCCCATGACCAGACACGTGGCCCCGCGGTTCAACGCCGCCACCGCGCACCAAGAGCGCCCTCTGCCGAGTTCAATCCCAACTACAGCCCACGGCGCCGCCACGCGGTGCGCGAGTGGTCACCGACCGGCCGTGACGATGGCATCGATTGATCAATTAGAATCGCATGGAAAGGAGGGGCTGGGGGTTTTTGTTGCTAATTGTATGCAAAGCGCACTGAAAAATAATCAATCAATCAATGAATGTGACAATTCGTTTCACAAATTGCATCTCACAATCGCCAAAGGGAAACCCAAGACACCGAGCAGGAAGGCTACCCAGGCGACGAGCCGGTGCGCGACACAAATTTCCCCCGCTGCACCTCGACATGCAAAGATGTTTTCAACCAATCAGCGCACACGTGTTTATTGTACACGTCGGGAGGAAAACCGGAGCACCCGGAGAAAGCCTCACGCGCATGAAGCGGGGTGGGGGGGGGGAGAGTGGTAGGCAACACCGTATCCCAAACAGAAGGGACAGATGATAGCAGTCGACGCTTTTCTGTACTGCATCTTGCTGGCAGAGCCAGGGTACGGTGTGGTGTTGCACCTCGACGCCCAAGGGAAGGGAGAGTCCCGCAACATTTTGCCGTTCGTCCGATCCTGCAACCCTCGCCCCCCCCCCCCCTCCAGCAGTGCGGGATTGCGTGTTTTCACGAGACAGTTGTACATGCTGCAGCGAGTCTGTAGGACTGTTGACATAAGTCAGCGGAGGAGGGCTTTGTGCAGGGACATGGTGGCAATGACGGCGGCCAGTGCAGTTGGGAAACGTGAGACGAAAGGACGTGGACGGAGAAGGTGGAGCAATGAAGTCGGCTGGCGGGGTGCGTGCGGGTGCTGCACAGGCCCGTTGCCATCGCGAGGTCGCGGTGGCAACAGTTTGTGGAGCCCTCCATCCACGAGCAGACCACTGATCATGGACATACGGTGAACTCCCTTTGGCACCGTACGTAGCCCACCGCGCTAATCGGGGGGCGACGACGACAAGGGAGGCCCTCGTCTAGCAGTGGAAAGACCATGGCTCAGCGCGACGACGTGGATGCCTTCGTTTAGCAGTGGACGGTCCATTGCTCGCGATGACGTTGATTACTGAAAGGCCTTCATCTTGCAGCGGAGAGACTGTGGCTCACGATATAGGAGGTATCGCTGTGACCCCGGAATCACTTTCTGACATCTCTCTCTGTTTGTGATGCTGAATATGCACGCTCGTGCTTCAGCGCTCCGAAGGCAAGGGGGGTCAGCAGATCACGCAAGAGATCAGAGAGGCTGCCCGACCCGATGTGCCGCAAGTTCACCTGGAGGTGGCAGTACAGCAAAGCTGATTGGTGGGCCCCATCGTCTGTGTAAATGTCAACAAAAAATGGAAATGGCCTAAAGATCTCAAATGCAGAAGGGCCCTCCTGCAAAAAAATGGTGAAATAATTGGTAAAAAGTCTGGTGGAATAATTGGTAAAAAGTCTGGTGCAATAATTGGCAACTCCACGTGTTGAGTTGCGTGGTGGCTTCCAGCTTTCAAAACACGCGATCACAGCACTATACAACAGCGAAGCTTGAGATGGACATTTACTTGAATGGAGAGGTCGCAAACGGATTTTGATTCCTTACCCGTACCCGGCCGCACTAGGGTCGCAAATGAGTACCCGTACCCGGGTACCCGTTCCCTACCCGTACCCTACCCGAAATGAGTGACAAACGGTTACTCACAAGTGACTCACGGCCTACCCGTACCCGGCCGCACCAGGGTCGCAAACGGGTACCCGTACCCGTACCCGGCCGGGACCGGGTAGCCGGGTATCGGGTACCCGGTTGCGACCTCTGCTTGAATGCTACAAAACTCGCGTTGCATATTTTGCCTCATCTCTGCAGCAGCTGTTGTTGGCCACACGAGGGCGCTGTAATCCTAGGCAGGGAGTCACAGCCACCAATCGCATTGTGGAGAAAACCACGGAGGCCTAAACACTTAAAAAATATATTTTAAACTATGTTTTTATTTAAGCAAGGCCCACTGAACTGTATAGCTCTTTTCCAGAAGAGACCTGACTATCAAATGTAAGCTCAACGAAGTGGCTTATCACGTGGAAATTTAAAGCAGCCAAATACTCTAAACGCAGACTGATTCTGAATGTGGAGGGGAAAAACCGGAGGACCCTGGAGAAAAATTCACGTGACCACGGGGAGAGTTTAAAGAAACACGCGAACTCAAAATTATACAGCAAGTGTCTGGGTCAGGATCGCACCCAAATCTCCTGC